TACGTATATTGTTCCTTTGTTTATTTAGTTAAGAAATATTTATTTAATTCAACTTTCTTGCTTTGATTGTGGTCCAAATTTCATTAATAAAATATATAATACATGTACTGCAGTAAGTACAGTGTATTGAAAAAGATGAATTGAATATAAAGACATTTAATAAAAACATGAGAGCCTTACATACACAGATCGGGAGGTAACCGTTAGCGCTAACCGTTAGTGATAACTGTTAGCACCTGTGTGAGAACACCCGATCGGTTAGTACTAACTGTTAATTTAAATAAAATGGCAGACATGATTGAAAAACACATCTAAATCCCACAATGGACTTGGCAACTAGGACCGAAAAATGGTACCCATTCTCATAGAGCCACAGGGCCCCTGGCCTCAGCGAACCCTATTGTCATTAGTTGAGTTAAGGCGAGAGAGGAGGGACTAGTCAAAATTTGCAACTTGCTTGCTCAAGGCGACAGGATTAATAATCATTGTAGTAGTGTAAGGGGGTGGGGGGCGTTCCAGCCTTATTACTATGGAAGAAGGAATACTGGAAACGATTGGTCTTGGCTCTTGGTACCTTTATTTAATTGACAGTGGGATATGGTTTCTAATGCACCTGGCTGCAGTCGCTCGTCTGTTAGTGGTTTTCAAACTTCAGATCAATCTTTTGATGAACAATCTTGTGCATCGTAACTAGTCCAGAGGAGGAATTAGGTGAAGGGTGAACAGACTGGTTCCCATTTTTGGAAGGTGAAAAAAAAAAAGAAAGAAAGAAAAAAAAATATTGATCATCCAAAACGCCTCACAGGTTATATTTTTGGTTCGTCTAGAAAACAAAAAATTCACGGGAATTCCCGGACCCCCTAGGGTGGTGTTATCTCGATCAACCCCAGTTTTGGTACCCCTTTTGGCCCCTCCTTTTGGACATCTCTGGATCTGGCCCTATAATCTGTTGACTTTTTCGTTTGTGTTGAAGTGGAGTTTAATTTCTTTAAGCATAGCAGAAAACAGAGGAATTTCACTTGTACTGTAGTTATTGGTAATAAAGCTAACCTCAACTTTTTGGCTGTTGCAATAATAATATGGTCCATCACTGTTGAGGTTTTCGGATATTTTATGCTGTTAGTGAAATGTTTTTCCACTTTATGTGTATTAATGCATGGAGAACTCATAATTTCAACAGGAACGTTTTTCTTGGTAACGTGTTATATAAATAGATTGACTCTACTATTTATAAACTTCAAACATTGGTTTACATGTTGTATAGTGACTCATCTATTTAAAATATTCAGTTCACAGGGATACATTAAATAATTCAAGGGAGCTTGATAATCATTTATTGCAGTACCATAAATATTTATCTTGCAAATCTGACTCGTAATTTTAAACTGGTAAGGTTTTAATGTATTTCTTGGAAAATGGGGATGGGGTTACTACAGTATAATAGTGGTTTCAGATATTTACCAACATGGTCCAAAAGTCTAACAGGAGTCCAAACCAAAGGGGTGCTTCGGATTTTAGGTCAGTGAGGTCAGTGTACCAAAGAAAGTCCTGTGGCGTCACGGGGGTAGAAATTTTATCGTAAACAATAATAATGCTATTATATGCTACTGTGTTATTTATGCACAATATTTCTGTGTAGGAACTTACTGTGTCTCAGTAACTTTGGTTTGAATCTGAGATTTTTTTATCCAACATCCTCAATTAGTGTCAATTAGCAATAGGTCATCTATGCGCTTCTACCAGGGGTAATCACATACCGCTATATAGTATGATACTTGAAGGTTAATGCATCTTAACTGGCAAGTTATGAGTCCTTATACCGTGGTTCTGTTGGTATAAGATTATTGCCTAGAATATTAAATTAGGCCAAATTTGGGAGTTGGCTCAAAAAAGAATTACCCTATCGATAAAAAAAAAAAAATCCATATTTTTATAGGGATGGCAAATCTAGAGGCAAATTTTTACCATGTCTAATCGACTGAATTTGGTGAATAGTCCCCACACCAAAGCGGTTATAATGGGTATAACATCAAAACAAACAGCTAGGTGGCAGTTTTTTTCACACAATAAGCCTCCGCTTGAGTAAAATGTGAGAGGTCTTTAAACTCCTCAAATTTTGTTATTTGTACATTTTATCGTAAAAGAACTTATCGAAAAGCCTTGGTAAATATTTCTTTAAACGTCGCAGTATTGATCCGCTAAATTTGAAATAGAGTGAAAAAAAAAATTTAAAACTTGAATATTTTTGCATAGCCTCCTCGCGTGAACACAGGCCTAGCCCTAGACTTCAGAGTCATACAAATAACATTCGTCTGTTGTAACTCATCGGTCATCGTAGTCAAAAGAAACATCTTATTCTACAATTCAGCAATTTAAGTTTGTCTAATAGTTTAAGTATTTCATACAGAAATTGCAGCAAAATGACTTGGTGACAGTTTTTTCAGCTGAATATGTACCTCTAATCAACAGCGATCACCTTTACAGTAGTCAGCGCTGGATGTGGCGAGTCCTGCGAGCGACGGACCTAGGCACCCTACAGTAGAAGGCTTCTCAAAATTCTTCATATTTTTAGTCTGAATTGAAATTTAAATCAAACCAACCTTAATCTCATGAATCTATGAATCATTCAAAATGTTTACTTTGTTATAAAAAGTATCTTCTACGCTAACTTCATTACATTGTAGACAATTTAAAAGGCACCACTTTTGACTCCGCTCAATGCATTAGCATAGGACGATGTAAACAACTTTTATTTTAATACCCAGTCGGGTAAATTTTGATGACGTCAACTTTGGTGACTAATTATTCGGTCTGTTCAGACTGCAATCTTTGTGGGTTTTTTTTCTGTGTTGATCATTTAAATCACAACCTGGACTTTTTCCCGGGGGGTATGCGGGTATGTGAAATCAGACCTGAGTAGGCTACATTTAAGGAACTACCATCTATCAAACCCAGGATTCTTGAACGTTTTTGATAAAGGTTAGAGAGCCAAAGTGGAATATTATTGTTTGTTTTCGAGATAACTTGCGGGTAAAATGAACAACCATGATGCTACTTGTATGTCTATGTAAATCATGCCACCTCATTGTGTGGTGGATTAAATAAACCCTGATATTGATAACATTCTATTAACAGTACATTTCTCAAAGTCCAATTTGATGCGCTATAGAACACTCTTCTACTGTATGCACATTTGAGATCAACTGATCCCAAGTGTTAACAATGGTGTTCCCAGGTGTGTTAGTAGTGTTCCCAATGGTTTTCAGTGGTGTTCCCTTGAGTTATCAGTGGTCTTTTCAGTGGTGTTCTCAGGTGTTTTCACTGAATGTAAATCAGTTTGGACTATATTCTACTGTATATTATGGATTCACTTTTGTAACAATGACCATGAAGGACAAAGACAGTGATCATAAACAGTGTTAATGAACAGTGATATATTAAATAATAAATTAAATAAAAGCTCTTACTATATGTAAATATAATAATGTATGTAAAGTATAATATTATATTATCCATTTTACGTGGTTAATTAGACAGTTGGCCTGTACTGTATATTTTAAAAATATAATGAATATGAAATTTTAAGTATGTACTGTTTGATGCCATTTTAAACAAATTGACAAAATATAAGCATACGATATTATGACACATTTTTCAAGTATCGAAATGCACGCCATCATGTCGGTTCGACAATAATGTCATCATTAGTTTTTTATAAGCATATTGCAGGAAGTAATATTAATATAATAGTATATAGGCGCATATTATGTTGACGTATTTCTGTGTTTGTTTTTGAAATAAACAACAAACCCATCCAGCTTATTGCAGTTTGTTGTTGAGCCTTCAATTCAATGTTGGTTTAGTTTCCAGAATTACTGTTCATATCAATTTGTCTAATCTAATAGCCCTTGATGTAGACTGACAGGCTCAATGAGTGTAAATAGACAGATTACCATACAAATTAGAAGCAGGCGGAAAAGGAGTAAAAAAAGAAAAAAGTATAAGTGCCTGACTTCCAGTAGTTAAAGAGTGAGGGTTGCATGCGTTCTTGGGCAGACCGTTTTATTTTACCCACAATCTCTTTGCTTTTCCCTCAAGAATTTTATGCACTGGTCAGGGGTGTATCCAGAATTTTTTCTGGGTGGGTCGTGATCATAATTTTTCGGACCTTTTCAGTGGGAGACAGGAAAATCGATTACAGCGCCACCAGCTTGAAGCGGATGGCAGGCTCAGCTTCAGAATTGCTGGAATTGAGATAGATTACAGTACATCACGCAATTGGCAAGGTCTTTAGATTCATTGCTGGTACCTCATCAATGCTCTTTCATTTATGTCATTGTGAAAAGGCCCTATAAAAAAATGTCTTTGGGAAAAATGTGGTTTTTGAAATTATCCTAACTTTATGATCATTGTAATACTGTACAGTACTGTGAAAGCAAAATACTCTCTATTTCTACGATCTTAAAAGTTGACATGTCTTTTGAAGGGGTCATCTATTTACCTTTCATAACAGATGACCACTACTAAGACTTCAACTCATTTGTATATTTTTAGTAATCTTACACGACACCTGATCAAGTCCCAACAACTGAGATGGAAGTTTGTGAATTTAGTGTTTAATCAAAAGAAATGCTACTGACTCATTTATTTTCTTGTATTACTGACTAATATGGCAACTTAAGGCTATTTGTAATAGAATTTCATAGGCAATTTATTTGAAAGATATTTTGTGAACTTTATCAATTTTATTAGTAGACAAATTTTAATATTTTAATTATTTAATACAGTAAGTGAAAGCTGAACTTTTTTTTTATGTTTTTTTTTTTTTTTTGGATAATAATTTAAATATTTGTTCGTGTATTAATTATGAATAATTAAGTGTTTACTTAATTTTTTACAGGTTTTCCGGTTTTGATAATTTTCAGATTTATTTTTGTTTCTTTCTAGTTTATATTATAGTATGTAAGTTAAAGTGTAAATATTAATTTTTTTCTTCCCAGAATTCAAACGGTAGATCTGATGAATACCTAGCAGCCGAGGCATTAGCCAATCACATTCGCTGCAATCATAGCTTCGTACACGACCTGTTCCAGGCTCAATTCCGCTCATCGCTCACTTGTCCTAACTGCGGTGAGCAGAGCAACACGTTTGATCCGTTCCTGTGCGTCTCACTGCCTTTACCGCAGAGGACTACACGACCAATCAACGTGGTAATGGTGTATGTTAATGCCACGCCGAGGATTGTACGGTTTGCGATTACGATGAAAATCGAGTCCAAAATTAGTGACCTCAAGACAAGCATTGCGAAGACTTGCAATATTACAGAAACTAGGGTATGTCAATATTTGATTGCAATACTAATTATAAACATTTTCAATATTAAATGCCAATATTTTGCCATCCCAAAACCAGTATCATTAGTGATCAAAAATAAAAACTGAACATTTTAATATATTCTTATTCTCCACATTGTAACCTTTAAAATGATGGGTCATACTGGAATCGACCTACAGTACTACAGGTATTGCTAAAGTTGAGAAAAAGTATTATGGCTTCCCTGTAATAAAGTATACTGCTACATTCTTATGCTACAGTAATTACTCAGTGTAACATTTACCAACAGTACCCTAGTTTCGGGATGGCATACCTTCTATACAGAAACTAGATTCATATCAATATTATGAATGTTTGATTGAATTTTAATATATACAATTATAAACATTTTCAGTATTGGTTAGGATGATTAATGAATCATAAAAAAAGTGATGAGGCAAAAACCAAAAAAAAAACACCAAACATTGACATTTGTGAATAAGTGTTGGTTGGTAGTGTTTTCTACAATTTAACTTTTGGCCTGTTCTGATTGGGCCTTTCCTCTAAGCTCCGCCCTTGGATATTGTTGCTAAGTTCCCACAAAATGACTAAAAATATATGCACATACATGCGTTTGTGGAACAACACTAGTTGTTCAGTTTGATTGACATTAGGGAGTGATCCATTAGACTGAATAGAGGTATAATATGTGGTAAAGACAAGCCAAACCAGTCACTCATCGCAAATCGTGTTTCAGAGTTGGCCAAAACATGCTGGAATGTCAAATTTTTTTAAATCCAAATTTATTGGTCTAAACTAACCTTTATATTTATACATCATGATAATTGATATGCTATTTTTTTCCCCCTATTTTCAATGTTAAAACAACAATTTTTAACAATTTGGTGATGGTTTCTGCCCGAGAAATGCCTGAAATCATAAACTTCAAAGGTTGATTTCTCAAATATTGTACTTTAAACAGCTGTATGTTTAAACGCTTGTAACTTCATTAGGAAATGTTGCATTTAAATGATTTTTTTTACCATTTTCTAGCTCTCATTTTCATCTTTAACCCTGTATTATAACTAAAAATCAGTTTTTGTGACGAGTGACTGGTTTGGCTTATCTTTGCCTCATATATTTCTTTGAAATTATTATGAACAAAATCTTAATTAATATATTCATTTTTGGATGGATGGATGAATTTGTTTAGTGTAAACACCGAGGATAATCCTAGATCATTCTGAAGAGTGTACTCCATTCTTTAACATACAAATGGGACATAATGCACACAGGACCAACGACTTAAACGTCTCATCTGAAAAAGACGGTGCGCTATCGTAACTTGTATTTCAGCCCTGCAGCTGAAATACAGTACTGTACAAGGAGAGCAGTGATAGGAATTGAACTTGGGACCAAGAGATATCCATGTTTCAGCACGCACACAATGGCTTCCGGCAGTTTAGCCGACTGAGCTAAGCTGCTCTCTGTACTTATAATACAAATTATCAAGTGCACTCATAAATTTTTATGTAATGTGCACACGTCTATATCTCATATTGAGACTTACTTTGGGGAGTGGGAGCTGTTTATAGTTGTGCGAAAAAAAAAATTGTGGTAGGATTTGAACCTAAGACCATGAGAAGGCAGGCATCTTAAACATCAATGCTACAGCTCCACTAATACCTATCTCAGTTTAAATAGTATTACTCCAAGTATTGAAATGCACGACATCATGTCGGGATTCAATATTTTGACATTAATTATGCCATCATCTGGATGACAATATTTCGACATTAATTATGTCATCATCAGTTCACACTACAAAAAAATGTTGTATAATATTTTTAATATTGGACAATAGTTTATCTTGTATCTTGTTGTGTCTACTGGGAAATGTACCCATTGAGCAATATTCATATTTTGTTGATTAAGAAATGCAAGCGACAATCTTATTAGCTAAGTTTTTTTATAAGTATAATGTCTGATATGTTTACCAATCTGTCCAGTATAAAGTAATCTAGCCACCTACACTCTAATAATACTGGCCGAAAGCAAGACTTTAATTGGAAGCAAAACTATGCTGATTAAAGGACTCGCAATATTAACAGAATTAATTCCACGCGTTTGTTCTAAGAGCCCGGTTTCGTGCAGTAATGGTAATTTGGCAGGATCACAGAGAGAAGTTAGTGTAGCGTATAGAATTCTGTCATTAACAAGGAAATACTAGCATTCGTCTCCCGGCAAAGGGATCGTTATTTTTTTCATCTTCTTGATGAGAGTGCAAAACATAATACTATAGGCTGTAGGGAAGGTTAGCGGTTTGTGTAGGAAGTTAAAGGAAAATAATGATATTAAAAATGATTTTAAAATCTCTACTTTTGCCTAGTGTTTCTATATTTGCTGGAATAACCAAGGCTATATGAAGTGGGGGCACGATTGTTAGGTGACGCTGCGCCAGCTCACAAAATAATATGAGAGGTGATTTTTAACTGGTCTCCCTCTAATTAAAAACCCCTCCAATTAAAGACCTCTTTTCTGTTGTCCCATATTAAAATGGGATTAAATATGAATGGGATAATTAAATTATCGCAAATATCTTTTATCTTTATTATCTAATTAATAGAGACCAAAGCTGCCAAGGACCATGGAGACCCTAATCTCAAAAATGGTCTTTAATTGGAGGCAGACAAGGTAGAAAAAAAAAAGGCAGACAAGGTAGAAAAAAAAAGGCAGACAAGGTATAAAAAAGGCAGACAAGGTATAAAAAATGGCAGACAAGGTATAAAAAAAAAGCTTGCCTATCTCTACTTCTGTAAGCTTCATGATTATATGTCTTGTTTGACCCTTTTTCAATTTAATGGCAAGTAAAGTCTACATGCCACAGGTTGTCAATGACACTTTAGTTTACGAATAGAATTCAACCTACATTTTTGCATCCAATTATTAGTTGTTTGCATCTGCTATTTACGTATGTATTATTTTTTGGTGTTTGTTTTGTATTAATTAGTGTTGACATACTCTATTTTTTAACTAATTATTTAGTTATTTTTTTATTCTGTTTTAGTATAGCTTAGCATTATACACACTAATTAATCAAACACAATGATTATAAATTATGTCAATATATTTCATTTTATTTACATGATTTCAAAGCTTTAATTTTATCACGTTATCTATTGAAATTATAATTACCGTATTTATCTGAATGAACACCCCAAAGCATTATTGTTGGGAAGGGTTTTTGAGGGGGTGATGATATGCCTACTGTAGGCCATGCTAGAAAGTACAGGGCTAGGTAGGCCTAACAGTAATCCTTGCCATGGGAGAAAACATTTGTCACGAAATAAGACTTGGATTTTTACTGTTTTCTGCAACAAAATATTACTTTACTGAAGCCAAAATTACCTGTGCACACTGCGAAGTATTCATTTAAAGGGATTTCCGAATGAGAGCATGACCATAAATTCCCAAAACCAGTGTTATTATTCTTTTAGATTGCGAATCCATGTGAATAGTGCCTCCAATCATCAAAAAGAGAAATTGCGGTGATTGTCATCGCCGCAATTTGGTTCGTAAAACTCAAGAGTTCGTAAATGGGAGGTTCGTAATTGGGAGATGTTGCTGTATTCCAAATAAGGTTTTAGAGAAAAGGGCATCTTAATTCAGTGGGTGTTTATTTAAAGCAGGGCGTTTATTTGAATAAATACGGTAATTAATGATTTACATTAAAGTACCGTACAGTATGCAATGCTAATCAGTACTGGATATTTTTTTTCCCTTTTAGATGATCTTAACAGAAGTTTACTTTGATGGTTTCCATCGTTCCTTCACGAATAAACAGCCGCTGAGAGAGATACATGACGGTGATAGTATATACGCCATTGAGATACCTCACAACCCGCAAGACTTGGCCAACGCCACCAACGTTGTTCCGTTTGTTCATGTCCATTCATTCCGTCAAGCCCACGATGTCATTAAATTTGTGTTTGTAAATCAACAAGGGACTGGTGTTGGTGGAAGAAGGTATCGTTAAATGTTAATAAAGATAATTTAAGATTACAAACTCTTGCCCTGTTGCGCCATATCTGTGTACAGAAAAAATAATGGCTCGTGATTCACCAAACAAGGCCTAGCATCATAAGCCTTGCAGTGTGTACTATTTAATTATAAGTGTTGAATTATAATAATTATAATTTGCATCCAGAATATACAGTATAGTCAACATAATTGAAGTGGAATGTATTACAACTTCTTTTTTTTCTGTCAAATATAATTATGATTGCAAAATTATAATACTTGTTAATATTTTCCCAGACTGAGATCTATATTAGATTTATTCTTTAAGTTCAAGGGACTTGTTTCCTAGGAGCTCTTTTTAATTGTTTTGATGAAAAAGAATTAGTCTATTAGATAATTTTTTTTCTAGGCACAGTGACAAACTTCCATGTACGGTAGGCAAAGCTGTCAAAGGTGGAATAAACAACTTCTGGGAAATATGGTTAAATGAGTTTTCGTAGTATACCTAATTTTATGTTGTTGCAATACCCATCAGGGAGTAAAAACATGCAAATATCTTGAATTTGCTGGAGATAGGTTAGTTTCTTTGAGAATGTTATTGTTCGTATGATGATGTCCCGTTCGTTGGGGACTCCCACAACTCACTGATGCGTGGGTCCCCTGCTTTAGGTCAGACATACATTGGTTTGCGAACCAACCATCTGCTGATTATGATCTTTTTGTTTGGGGAGCCTTTTAGTGTATCCTCTGTTATAGAAGTAGGAATTTTCAGCAAAAAAAAGATGTATTCGTGATTTTTATCCCACTAGCTATATTTGTTTTTTTTTATTCAGAATTAAATAAACAGAAAATAATTACCAATCCAATTACAGAATGGTTTGGATTCCCAACCTTGAGGTCGGGGTTTCAATCACTACATTTCACGTCTGTCCTGGAACAAGGCATTTTATTTGCCTTGCTTCTCTCTACCCAGGAGTAGACCTACTGTAGTACCTAGTTGGGTTGACTGCTCCTGCACTGATACAAGCAGCAACACTTAAAGCATGTTGACTCAATGACCAGGGAAAAGAAGCGCTTTATCAAAGAAAAAGCACAATATAAATGATAATAATAATAAATAAATAAATGAATAAATAATTACATTATGTATGCAACAACTTGAATGAAGCCCAAGTGTGCCCTCAGTTTCTACCTGACGTTAAAAAAAAGTTTGTCAGCTCTTTTTGCAAACTAAGAAAATAAAATTGTAATCATATTTTCTTTGCACCCTCCTTTGAAGTCATAAAAATTTCGCCTTACAGAAAAGTTAAACGGAACCACTACAGTATACAGTAGTTATGATGAAATTAAGTTAGCTTGTATATATCTATAAGACGCCTTAAATTAAGCACTTTGCTACACTTCATTTCTCTTTTTAATCCACTAATCTAATTGTATTCTTTCATTAACATTTTTTTCATTATCAAAGCTGTCACTCGCGTGTAAGTTCATTAACATCACAACAAACAATATTCACAATTAGTAAATTTCATTACACATTTGTTGAATAACGCAACTGGAATGCATAACGCAAGGTCACAAAATCAAATTAGACAGCCGTTTAAACGTGTTTTAATGTTGTGAACTTGTTTTGTTTCATTAAGGTTCGGCTTACCGGTGGCGATAGAGGTTGACAGAGGGGTCACATTCCAACAGCTACAGAAGGTCATACTGAAAGCTTTAGAATGCAATAACATAGAAGACGCCCTAAACCAGGTGAGTTCATATAATTGTCGCCTTCCTTCCAGAGTGTCAATCAAACTTAAACAACTGACCAATCAGAACAGTGCCAGGAATATGCGCGTATCGAACAAACGTGTTGTCCTACAAATGCACTTTATGGGAATTGAAATGCAAAAAATACACTTATCCTATTTTAAAGCTAGATAAATACATGCCCATCCAACATTGTCCACATTTCTGCCCACCCAAATTTAACAATGGTATAGTTCATTTTGGGTGGTTTTTGTCCGAGTGATTATTGTCCTGGGTGGTTTTTTTGTCCTACATTCTCTCCTAGAACCCTATAGATACCCATAGTTTTCCTACTGTAGCCCTCCAATTTCTCCTAAGGTGTCCTTAGCATTCACAGAGCCCAGCCTAAAAACCAACAAGCTTAGCATGACTTGTATGCTAACTCATTTTTCTACAGTAAAAAATATTCCCGGATGTAGCAAAGATAATTGAAGAAGATGTACTGTATATTATGATGCATCCAGCAGTTTTCTTTGCATAATCTGCCCATCAACTTAATATTCAATAAATCATTAAAATATGATATCCTTGTATCTCTTTTGTTTCCAACAAATTATTCCTCCTTTGTATTCAATTCTCAATGATTTATTTATTTTTAAAATAGACATTTATAGAATTCAATAGTATTGTACTCTATGTACTTTATAATGTATTATATATTTATTATTCATTACTATTTATTTTATGTTGCATTTATTATTCCATAGATACATTTTCTAGGTTGCTAACAAATTTAATTAAAATTCTTTGTGTATTTAAAACTGTTAGTAGCTTTTGATTAAAATTTAGAATATTGTTTTGCCATTTATAAAAAAATATTCAAAATGCCTTTTTGCATCTGAATAGTATTACATTGTATTTTATTACTATTTATTTATTTTTTATTTATATTATATTACATTTATTATTTCTTATTAGCTAATACTATAGATATATCTTCAATGTTGTTAAAAACAATAAATAAAGAAAAATACATTTATTTGTGTATATTGTTATTAGCTTTTATTAAAATTAGAATATATTTTTTTAGATTAAACAAAATATTTAAAATCTTAAAATCATGTTTTTAGAAAGTTTTAAGTTTATATTCCTTGAAGATAAAACATTAAATTAAATACTTTAACTTTTAAAATAAAATACAATATACTTTTATTCACAACTAAAATAAAATCAGTTGAATTTTCACATACGCAGAAAATGTCTAAAAAGTTAAATATCAAAACATTGTATACATGACAACTAAAATATTTACATTTTACAATCAGGCTGTTCAAAAACACAAATGAGAATCCAAAGTTATCATTATTATAGTTGATATTATTATCATTCCACTTCATCATCATGTTCCACTTAAGGTAGATTTTATTGTTTATTATTATTATTATTATTATTATTATTATTATTATTATTATTATTATTATTGTTTATTATTATTATTATTATTATTATTATTTCTTTTTATTATTATTAAATGTTATTATTATGATTATTATTATGATTATTTTTATTATTAAATATTATTGTTGTTATTATTTTATTAAATATTATTGTTATTATTATTCTTATTATCATTATTATTATTATTGTTTATTATTATTATTATTATTATTATTATTTCTTTTTATTATTATTATTAAATGTTATTATTATTATGATGATTATTATTATTATTATTATTTTTATTATTAAATATTATTGTTATTATTATTTTATTAAATATTATTGTTATTGTTATTATTATTGTTGTTGTTTTTATTGTTTTTATTATTAAATATTATTGTTATCATTATTATTATTATTTTTATTTTTAAATCTTATTGTTATTGTTATTATTTTTATTAAATATTATTGTTATTATTATTTATTGTTATTGTTATTATTATTATTATTATTATTATTATTATAATTTTTCTTAGCATCATCAATTGGTCTTTCAGCAATAATTGTTTCATTTATTCATCCTCTCATTGATTTTAATAGGTGAATTATCTTTGTTCTCATTTATTCATTTGATTATTAATAATCAACCCATTCATTGATAATTTTGTCATTGATTTGTCTTGCCATTAAGTAATCTACGAAGCCCTTTCCGAGAGCCAACATGTCGCTGCTTTTGATTCAATAACTTAAAATAATTGCAAATGCTCTGTACACAGCATACAAAGGTTGTAGCTTTCGGATATATTATTAAGATACCTAGAGACAGGCATATTTATTTATGGTTGAGTGTAATATATCATATATTACTGGCTAAACAGCTTCCTATTCTAAAATGCCTATCATTGCATTAACATTATCATTAGATCAACAATATACTACCATCATATACTACCACTATTACTATAACATCCACCATCATCATCATAAAATCTATCCTTATCATCATAATGATTAGATCTATTATTACCATCACCAGTATATTAATGATCATCACCAGTATCATGAGTATAACACCATTACTATAACATCCACTATTATCATCATGAAATCTATCATCATCATCATCATCATGATTATCTATTATTACCATCATCAGTATATTGATGATCATCACCAGTATCATGAGCATAACACCACTATTACTATAACATCCACTATCGTCATCATCATGAAATCTATCCTCATCATCATCATTATCTATTATTACCATCATCAATATATTGATGATCATCACCAGTATCATGATTATAACACCATTATTATTATTTATGGTTGAGTGTAATATATCATATTTTACTGGCTAAACAGCTTCCTATTCTAAAATGCCTACCATTGCATTAACATTATCATTAGATCAACAATATACTACCATCATTAGCACCACCACTATTACTATAACATCCACCATCATCATCATGAAATCTATCCTCATCATCATCATGATTATCTATTATTACCATCATCAGTATATTGATGATCATCACCAGTATCATGAGCATAACACCACCATTACTATAACATCCACTATCGTCATCATCATGAAATCTATCCTCATCATCATCATTATCTATTATTACCATCATCAATTGATGATCATCACCAGTATCATGAGCATAACACCATTACTATAACATTCACTATCATCATCATGAAAACTATCATCATCATCATCATGATTATCTATTGTTACCATCATCAGTATATTGATGATTATCACCAGTATCGTGAGTATAACACCATTACTTTATTACCATTATAATTATACCCACAACTATACCCATTTTGATGTTTTTCATTCTGTGCTTTGCCTTTTTCCTTTCAATTTTTCTTTTAAATGATTATGATGTATAATGTAATTTGTTTTTTTTTTTTGGTGATGTTTAATTAAAGAAAAAAAAGAATAAAGAAATAAAAACAAACAAACAAATACATACACACAGCCACCATCATTATTATCATCATCACTATCATAATGATTATCACTATACTACCACTATCATTATCCCCACTACAATCTTCATCATTATCTGGGATGGGAACCACTTGATAGTAGATTTAGTTCGCTTTTTGGTTTCCTCTCTCCTCTGTTGTTCTCCTGTCCGTTTTAATTGTACTTGTATATATTTGTATTTGTTGAGAGAAATAAATGAAATGAAAAATTATCATCATCGTGATCATTAACATTGTTAACTTTATTAATATTCAGTGCCACTATCATTGACGTTATTACAATCATTATCATAATTATCACCATCATTATCATCATCAATGTTATTATCTTCAGTATTATCATTATCATCATAATATTTATCACCAATATCATCTTCAATACCATCATTTAGTTACCAGTATTTTAAATGTTGTATAAAATAATATATTTAAACTATTAGCATTTATTTTAGTCATACTTTGGGTAATTTATTTATTTATCATTATTTTTTTTTGCTGTTCGAGAATCTTTGATTTTAGGGAGTACAGTATATTCACCACAAACTCTGTCTGTTTGCCATTTGTGATAGTAAACATACATCCTTGTTTGTTTTTTATAGTAACCAAGGTTTAGACATGCAGATGAGATGCTCTGCAAAGGCATTGTGTATTTTAGGTTTATTATACAGTAAATTCAATGTGCAGTACATTAATGTAAAGAACATCAAGTTAAAAATAGCACAGCAATAGATTGAAAGAGATTACATTGTCAATGTTATTACTGAACACATTAAGACTATTAAATAATGCACAGATGAAGGTGCATACGTAGATAACCACATTCTGATAGGCCTACATCATAATGATACATGTCAAACTGTAACAAAGCCTGCGTGGGAAATGTGTCCTTCGCGCAAAAATAAGGCCTAGAAATCCATCCGTGTATTTTGGAAAATAAAGGCCGATTTCTGTTTTCTTTCAACTAAGGCTGAAACATGAGAATAAGCCACTTTTACAACGATGCAAGCTGAGGTATCTATGCATGGCCAGTTAAGAATGGACAGCATGAACTCCTGACCTCGAGGTCCGGAATTCAAACAGATCACGCTGCGTAATCCGCCTTCCCTATATAACTAATATTATATTTAACTACATACTAATATTTATATATTATTATTAATATAACAAATTTATTTATGCTGTAGTTATTATTCTGCGCATCTATTTTCCTAACAATTTTTTTTATGTATCGTCTGCGCAAAGAAAATACTTATAATGCAACTGAGCATTTGGCTGATAGGTTATGGTCCTGCTTCCTGCATACAGTAATAAAGACCCTGTTTCAAATCTAATTACTGTACAGTAATTTGTGGTATTAATTTGGCTGTGATTATTCGGCTCCTTGACAACCACCACATGAAAGTTAAGTAGGATGGAACAATGTATGTTTCCTTTTGCACTTTTTTTTTATTTGCCAATAATTTCCTTTATTTTTTTCCTCCTCATAGAAGCTTATAAAAGCAACATTTTGCCTAATGAAACAGCAAATTTATTTTTGTCTGTCCTCCGGCGATCTTAAAAAAAAAAAAATTTCTTGTAAACATGGTATAAAATAAGTCTTACCTTATAAATAGATAACTTTAGCATTCTAATGTTCATGCAAGAATGGTGTACAGTACACCTTCAAGGTGCTTCAGACGTATTAACATCTTCCCCGTGGGAATTGAGCTAACACGTTTAGCGGCATGATTGCCTATTCCTTGTGGATTAACCTGCGGTATAGCGACTAAACTGTATTCACTTGATTATCTTCTCAAGTTCATATTTTATAAGGTCACGCGTCAACGGATATTACAGTATGTAAATTTTGCACTTTTAAAATTTTTTTAAATATTGAAATAGAAATGTCGTAAATGCTTGCGGTACACCACGTAGATAGTTTTGAAAAAAACTGTTTTTGTTGAGAATGTCTGCTTTTTTTTTTCATCATCAGGATAATATATTTTCAAAAATATCAGGTACTGTGCTGCATGCAAGCATTTAAGGCAATATTTTACCATGCAATAATAATTATAAATTAGAAAAACTAAAATTTTAAAATGATTATATAATTATCTATATATTTTAAAGTTTAATTCTACAGTATAGAAAAACTAAAATTTTAAAATGATTATATAATTATCTATATATTTTAAAGTTTCATTCTACGGTATATTGAATGTGAGGTATTTTAGTGTGTATGGTTTATGTAGATAGGTATGTGGTTTGAGTGAAAATAATAATAATAATAATAATAATAATAATAACTTTATTGTTTCTTTTTTGTAACAACAGAGGCATATTAATAATAATATATATAATATTATATAATATATAATATAATAATGTATAATATATAATGTAATATATAATATATTACATAATATAATATATAATATAATATATATTTATAATATATAATAATATATTGTGTATTATGTTGTTGTATTATGGTATTGCAGACCTGAATAATATGCATATAAATGGTTTACCTATATTTGTCTACTAATTGCAACAGGTGCTGTTGTGTTTTTAATACTATTTACTATATTATTGTTAATATATAATATAATAATATATATATAATATAATATATATATATATATAATATAATATACAGTATAACATAATATATGGTATATAATAATATATAGTGTATTATGTTAATCTATGTACTGTAGACCTGAATAATATGCATGTATATTGGTACCTATTTATTGCAACAGATGCTGTTGTGTTTTTAATACTGTTTATTCCAATTCAGTGTTCTGTTACTACTGTATGTTAATAAACCAGAATGAATGACAAATTTCACATGTGTACAAAAGCTGGTCATAGACTGCGCCAGCTGATTGTCGTCAGACAAATCCGTCTCCTCTCTGTGTTAGCTCTGGAATTCAATAAAATTTTAATCTTCCAATGATGATACAACAGAAAACAAGGTTTGCTAACATACAAACCCTTGTACTGTATTCTTAAAATTTAATTCATGGCATATAACGTGTAGATTTTTAATGTCAGGGATGTAGTTACGACTGGCAGAAGAGGGCGGGGCCATCCAGCCTTGAAGTTTTCCACCCAGTCTGAAGCAAATTTCACTGTCCTCCACCCACCTTTATTAACTCTCTTGCCCAACCCTAAAATTCACTCCTATTTTTTAGAGGTAATAATAATAATGGACATTTATAAGGCGCCGATATCTGCATGGTGCGCTCATGGTGCTAGAGCCAAGCAAGACAGAAAAAATACGAGCGTTATCACCCACCCTCCCTGAAAATGGCTACTACACAGTTATACAGTGTCTGTTCATTGACTAGTAATCAAATTTAGCATTTTTGTAGTAATGTGTTTGGGATTACTGTACCGCAAAGCTAAAACTTGATTCAATATGTGTTTTTGCCATGCAAACCTTCAAATAATCGATTCTTAAGCCCAGGCCTAACTATAAGATTTTATTTGACAAGAAAGTGTGGCTTGTCTAAGTATGGTCATGATGACATCATATCATGACCATATATAAGCACATCATGACTATATTTGGGCATACACATGTTTTTTGTTGTTATGAAAATTTGATAATCTGGACAGACTTTTACAAAGGTTGTTCGAAGGTTTGCACGGCAAGTACACACATTGAATCAGTTGTTTAAAGCTTTTCATGGCTTAGAAGTTTAATTAACAAATTTTTAGAAACAAAGGGCCATTGATATGCCAACAGTGAACTTAATCACTTTCTTAAAGATGTATTGTCCCATGCTAAATACCAAAAAAATCATAAAAATATTTTTTGAAATTAACTTACCCATTTTGAAGTAACATAAAAGGTATCAACTTGAACATAGAAATTAGTGTATTTAAAAAATGTCTACACATCAGTTTACAGCGAAAAATTATAGAAACACTTCCAGTCACTGGAAGTGTTTTATTATTTTTATTATAATTTTTTGGTTTAAAAATCAGGGTACATATTTTTTAAGTTAAATAATTTTTATGCACAAGTTAATAATTTGTATGCTATTGCAATATGAGCAAGTATATTTCATAATTATTTTTTATGATTTTTTGACATTAGCAAGGGACATCTTTAAGTAGCAATCTCTCCAAAAGCCAAACGATACCCTCAAAGTATCATTATTATATGTTTATTTGTTGGTTGAGAAAAAAATCCTGTATCACCATTCCGCTAAGCTGCACCCCTTGGATATTGTTGGTAGGATCCCTCAACAAAGGATGCCTAAATGGTTGTACGTAAAAACAGGCGTTTCTGGAACATGTGTGTGTTTGTAGGACCAGCGCGTAACCTTAGCAATGTTCTGATTTGTCAGTTATTAATAATCGACACGCTCATAGGAAGGTCCATTGAACTATTGTAGGTTAGGATGCTCGGGCATGCATATTATTAGCAAGAAGGTACATTACAACACCATTCATACTGTAGATTGATAACAGATGAAAATCCAGTGGAGTGGGTGCGGTTCATGGGGGCCATGTGCAAACAAATTTTACAATTGCAAAACTGAATGCTGGACATGTTGTGTTAAGGGATGATTAGAAAGTATTACAAGGATAGACATGCATGAGACCTGTATAAGCTCCTTAAGTAGGAAAATAAAAAAAAGGCATTCATAAACGAAAATTAATGGTTTAAAAAATGTTTACAGCTATTAATGCTGTTTAGAGCTAATGTGAAGTACTTATGTCCAGGATGTGGAAATATAATTAAGTATGATAGATTAGTACATACAATACTTTCTGTTTTTACAATAAATCTCAAGTGATTAGACATCAGAATATCATTTATCACACCATTAGTTTGAATAAAAAAAGAAATGAAATAGCACATTAAAAAGTCGTTTTTGAAATTATATCTTTCTATGAGCAGCACAGTGCAGTGTACAACATATAGTGTAGAATAGTGTAGCGTAGAATAATGTAGCGTAGCATAATGCATTGTCAGCAATTTAGGCTCATCTCATTCGCTTGTTACACATGCTCATTTATTTTGCACAGACTTTCCAAGATGTTTCCCCCCCCCCCCCAACTGGGAAGAAAAAAACCACAATTCGTCGGGAAGAGAAAAATTTATTTTCTACATATCCTTTGAAACCCCTAAATTGTCATATATTTCGAGGGCTTCTCTCCCTGGAACACTTTCAAGAGATTTTGAGTGATGCCCATCCACATTCACTTTTTTTTCGTTGGGGACCTCAGACCCCTTGTCAGGAAAATCTTGGCGCAACCATTGGTCCTGTGTAGCATTTTACTGTTGAACCCAGCAGTAAGGTTTTGGCAAAGAACCCTTTGTTATGGATGTTCTCAGTGGGCTCAAATCACTCTCCTAACCCAAGAGTTCATAGGACAAGGGTACCATGGTTGTTAAGATATACAGTTCTTTTGTACTTGTATTTTAATTTAGGGTACCTTGTTCAAGCTGGCAATTATAAATGAATTCGGCAACCGATGTTACATTCTATCAGAAGAACTGAGACCACTACATAACTCAATTGTTAATAAGTACGTATGAATTAATTTTACAATTCTAATTTGTATTAATACTAATAGTAGTAGTATTTTAATTTGAAATGGATCTGCATGGTTTTTTTTTTCATATTATTAAAGGAGAGCTACATTATGGTACTTGTGTAAGGAATGCATTAATGGATTACAAAAAATGTTCACTATTTATCAAGTTATTCGACTAATATTGTTGACACATAAGCAAAAAATGTACATACCATGATATTATGAAATTAGATAGTATTTTTAATGAGTGCAGGAAATTCTTGAAATAGGTAACACCAAAGCCAAGCTGAAGAACTGTTAGTCAATTTTATTTTATCTTTTGTCATCTCATTCAAGCTTGGGGTGGGGTGGGGGAGGGCTTGCATCTTTAAATAAAAGCTCACACACTTCAAAGCTCCCCCATTGCAATTTGCTGAGCCAAAAAATTAATAAAAATCACTTCATAAAAACACTTAAATTTTTTGCCAGCTAACTCCCCCTTACTTAATCATCAATCTCCTGCTTAACATTCACACATGTGCCTCCCCCATCTGTACACGCATCAGTCCCCACCTAATCAACACTCCTGGGCATATCCCACTGGTTTTTAGTTATGAGAAAAAAACATTTCTCGTCTGACAGGATTTGAACCCAGAATTCTAGGATTGAATGGAAAATTATGTAAATCACCAAGCTAGAGCGCCACGCTTTAGATAAAGAGGTCAAGTATTAGGACACGGTACCTATATGTGATTGTTGGTGTTGTTAAATCCATTTCCATATTATCAATTTTCTTGATTTTCAGGATGTTGCAGTTGTCAGAAACACAGGGAGAGCCATGCCATGTGAAGGCAGTTATTGAGTGGGACAAGGACTTGAGGACGAGGCAAGCACATTTGAATTATAAATAGTAGTAATAATTAATCTGTGAGTGGTAGCCACTATGTATGTGCTGTACCACGTTTTACATCCATGCTTCCCAAAATGTGGGTCGGCAAAATTTTCCCACTGCGAATAGGGACGTTAATAAATCTCTGATTGAAGGGGAGGAGACAGCCACCTCCTTCTCCCTAAATTTAAAAAAAAAAAAAAAAAAATTGTAATCAAATTTAAATCTAAGAGTGCTATTTCCAGCCGCCTAGTGGTGTCATAATCTTAAAATATTTACCTCAAGCCCACTGTAAATGGATGGACTCTCCCTGGACTCCCTGTATGCCAAATTCTTGGATCCACCACAGATAAATAGTAATGAAAATATTAATAATAATAATAATAATACACATTTTTAAAGCGCCTATTAAAGCAAACAAAAACAAGCTTGTCATCGGCGCTGGAAGATGTTAAAAAGAAGTTGATCCATTTGAAGAGGAAGGATTTAAGACTGGATTTGAATTATTCCTGATCAGAGATACGTAATTGTGGGGTTCAGAGAGTTTCAGAATTTAGGAGCAGAAAAATCGATGTAATACCAATGTTGAGTATTCATTTTTAAAACATGAACATCAAATATCCGGGATCCAATGAAAGTCGCTGTGCAATTTACTACCAAATTATTAGATGGGTCGCGGCTAGTGTGGAAAATCGCAACTTGGGTCCCAGAGTTTCGGAAGCAGGGTTTTACGTAACTTGGTGCCTCATTAAATTCCATCCAATGCTCTCCATTCGTTTCAGATTAGAATGAATCAAGATATTTACGTTGTTTGTCCCATGTGCAATATGTACTGTGTACATGGTAAATAAACCCAGTACCCTTTTTTTTCAAAAGAGTAGAGAATTGTCTCCCTGTGTACCTTTAAATTCACCATTAAGTTTTTGCTATTGTTTATTTATTATATTTTTCCGCATAAAAATTAAAAAACAAATATTAACAATCAATAAAAAACAAGAATGATTTCAGCATTTTATTTTTTTTCCATATTGATACACATTGCACAGTCTTCTTGTGGTAGATACAGATGGCAATATTCTTTATTAACATAACAAAGGGCATTAAACCAGGTTGTTCTCTTGGCAGGATGTTACAGCGTAAACAAATAATTAAATAAAACATGCATAATAATGAAGCAGTATTTTATTTGACATGTGACATACCTAAATGGTAATGATGACATCATATCATGACCATATATAAGCATGTCATGACTATATATGGGCGATTGATTCATTTTAACATAAAGGTAAATCAATTTAATTTTGTTTTTGTGCGTAGGTTTTCTCAGTGGGTGTTGTCTATCTACATCGAGGAACATGAAAGTGTTAAAGCAGAGAGACTTGCTCATCAGAAACCAATCGGAGCAAATCTGTTTGACTGCTTCGATCTGTACACTAAGGAGGAGATGGTGAGTTTAATGTTGTGTTAAGCACATGGCACATTGATTGTGGTTCCATCTTTCAAACTGGAGGTCAAGGGTTCAAGTTGCACATAATTACAAGCAACTATATATCTAAAGCCGGGCATGCATGGTGTTGGCAATTGGCTGTCGCAATTCCACATGGAAAGTAACGTGATGAGGCATGCACAAAGCTCGTTTTTTTTTTTCATTTACAATAGTCTCAGAATATCACTGATGCATACATCGTTGTAGTGGCAAGTCACTCTTTGGATGAGAATGAAATAACAAAAAATATACATGTGATGATTATGATGATGATCAATGGTCTTAACCCTTTCCATTCGTATGGCGTCGCGACGACACCCTCTTTGACCATACTTTATAGCGAGGGGCGTCGTACGTACGCTCAGTATAGATTTAATAATAATTTTTTTTATGACTAGGCTGCCCTCTATGGGATTGTTTGAGAGTGATGTAGGAGTATTTCTGTAGAGGGCCTCCTGTATTCAGACCAAATAAAATGCCTGCGCCCAGTAAAAACCAGACAATTAGTGTAGATGATGTAATTTCTCAGCTTTGGTACAGCCTCAGGCAATGGTAATGGGGCAGACTGGAAAGGGTTAAATTGCGGGCAAACGATGCAGTGATGTTTGGTTTATCTGCTCAGTCTGTTCACTCAGCATTCAAACAGTCTCTTGGTTACAATAGGTTGCTTTTTTTATAATTTTTATCATCTTTTTAAGCGCATTGAGACTTCGGTATAATGTGCTATATCAAGTCCACTACATTACATTACATGATAAGCATTGATTTGTGATGGTAGTGATAATTATTTTTGATGGTTGTGATAATTATTTGTGATGGTAATGATTGGTGGTGATGATAATTAGCAAATTTGTAGTTTGAAGTGCACATGCCCGTATCCAAGGTCAATCGGCATAAGCCGTGTGTATGTTTGTTTATTCTGATTGACCTTCATATGGGAATGGGCAGTTTGAACTACGAATTGGCTTGTTATAACAATAATAATAAAAAGATGATGAATATGATTGATATCATCATAATTTTGACGGACATAATGTGATGACTCAAGAATTAGCATGATTTTGTTATGTACATATAATTGTTTTTTCCTAGCTTGGAGATGATGATGACGCTTGGCATTGTTCACATTGTAAGAAACTACAGCAAGGAACCAAAAAGAAACTTGGATTATGGTCTCTACCCGATATCCTTATTCTACACTTGAAAAGATTCCAACAAGTAAGTCAAAAGTCATCCTTAGCGAGTGCTATCGGTTAGCAAGTTGAGCATGTTTATATCGCTAACCAATCACACTGCACATTTCCAATTTCCAGTTTCCTATTGGCTAGTGATCCTTCTTCTTTTTTGATATCTGGATCAGGGATTTTCTTGTGTGAACGCAGGGATGAGCGCGTATGTTATTTATTTTGATCCTGCTAACCGTTAGCTGGTGTGTTGCCATGGCCTGTATCTTTTTCCATACCACATTAAAATGTATATAAATTAATAATTCTATATATCTCAGCATCTGTTATTAAACACTTTTTTCATGTTTCAGACTGATTCCACACGAAGCAAACTCAACACACTGGTGCAATTCCCGGTCAGCGGTCTGGATTTATCGCAGTATCAAGAACGCAGGCTTCAACACGGGTCACACACAAACACTCTAAACACACTAACAAGTTGGTCTCCCTGGCGTCAGCACCGGCGACGCTCAATGCAATACAGCGATAGTAATGTGTACGACCTTTATGCTGTCTGTAACCACATGGGAACATTGAGTGGTGGACATTACACTGGTCAGATTTTTATTTATTTATTTATAAAATACCCTATAGTCCTGATTAGAAAACAAAAACAAAAGCCTGAGGATTACCTATAAGTGAATTTAACTATATAAAAGGTTCCTCAGAACACATTGAAGAAATAGGCAATTCATTATATAAACAAACATTAGGCAAGTAAAATTGAAAGGCAAAACAAAATTTACTTCTTCTTTTATCCCATATCTTAATCAGTGATTATTATAAATGATATTTTGATATGTTACTCACCATATATTACAAGGTTTTTGAAAAAAAAAATAAAATTGTCTCACTTGGCATTTCCACACAAAGACACTTCAACTACCGTATTGCATAAAACACACCCTTCTGTCCCCAATTTTAGGCTAGAGTAAGAATTGCGTTGAAAAGGAAGAGTAAGATAAAAATACATATATGGAAAACTCAAATTACAAATTTTAGTCAAAATGTTATGCAATGTTGTACTGTGCTGTGTATCATTCATTAAAATATAATTATATTTTGGAATATATTTTGTAGCTTTTTGCAAGAATCCAACAGACAACCAGTGGTATAACTTTGACGACACAAAGGTGACACCAGTCCAAGATGACAAGGTGATAACAAAGGCCGCTTACATTCTGTTCTACCATCGCCGATGCCTCTCAAACGGTAGCGTCAGCTCTGGCAGCTCTACAAGTTCATCGACCTCAGAGCATTGGGTGTATCGAACGCCTGCGGCTAAGGCCAATGGTTATAAGCATGCAAACTCTCAAGGGAGTTCTCAAGATGAGGAGATGCTGAGTGAAGCTGGTGAGTAGGACTCAAATAGAGTGCTCCCTCTAGTAGCGTATATATATGCGACATGTCCCCACGAAAACAATCACTGCCACCCAACAAAATAATTTTGAGAAAATCAATTATTAATTTGTTGGACTTGAATTTATATCAGTATAAGTTTGATCAATTGACTGCATTGTCTTCATTAATTAACTGTGATAGATTAGACCAGTGGTACCCAACCTTTTTGCATTCGCGGACCCCTCTGGACATGCCAAAATCTTCACGAACTCCCATTTCCACAGTCCAAAGAGTACTCATTGTCCAAATTACTACATCTTGGGTACAGACAGTAAATTTTACAAATAGGGCACTTACACAACCTCACCCCCACCCTGGTTGGGACTGAGGTAGGAAATGTTTATGTTTATTTCAATTGTAGATGGCCGGAAATTACTCTGTCAGACTCAAAATTTGAATGATTCTGTTATCCTCATTTACTTTTAATTTTTTGGGGGTTTTTTTTCAAATTTAGGGTTGCCTCCTGATTTTTAAAATTTATTCAATATTCTGGTAAAAGCAATAAAAGAGAAAACATGGAAATAAGATGTACATTACCTGAGGATTGCCACTATCAAGTGGCTCTCGTATACTGAATATCTACATAGAGAATACATTAAAAAGTAATTTAGAGGATACTATCAGATCACCAATAAAATATTGGAATTAAAATATAATGCCAATTAAAATAATTTACAGAGAACTAAATCATGCCTGTCAAAGGTATTTCATTATTGTCAAGGCATGGTCACACTATTGTGAGGCAAGAAAAATTATGAAATCATGAATAAGTTGTTCTAATAATCTGGTGGACCCCCAAAATGTTTGGGTGTGGACCTCCATATTTTTTGCGGACCCCTTTGACTTTGCGGACCCACAATTATTCCCAGGTTGGGAACCACTGTATTAGACAAAAATGTAACCACAAATGAAAAATAAAATTTACAGTTTTTTAACATTTTTTGAAGCATATGCATTTTCTGGCTGGTCACTAAGCACTGTACATTCAAATTATTAAACCAAATAAGTTACATACCATTTTCTGATTTCTTTTCTCATTTTCTTTGCAGAGGCAACTGAGAAGGACTCAAAGAAGAGATTAACCTTAAGTCGGTTACAACGTTCTCTTAGCATGCGTCTGACGTTACGGAAAACCAAGAAGAGAACAGCAAACAAGCCATCGACACCAACGACTGCAGAAGTGGCAACAGAAACAGATTCAACAACACCAACAACAGACACAAGTAAACCTCCAGAATCAAGTGTATAAATGTAGGGTTTATGTCCATGTTTTTAAACAATATAAATTACCTTACATAAGTCATCCCCAATATGGTTTTTAGATAGCTAATCTTAGCTTTACTTGATGTTCTTCATCGCTTTTTGTATTACTACAGCTGATAATAAGTTATGTAAGTCTAAGTTAAGAATAAGTATTATAAATATACAACTAAAAAGGTGTCTGCTTTAATAATTTGCTCCACTGAAAAAAAAAGTAGCCATAGAGGGTCCACTAACATTTTGGTAGATTTCAGGTAAACAATCCGTGAGAAAAGATGATTACAGTTACTTCTAACTGACTGAGTGTTGCAACTCGGTTTAAGTTGATTATCTGAATTTCTCTTAACTCGATCAGATGGTCTGCAAAGCCACGCCTCTGGATATTGTTGCTAAGTTCCCACAAAATCATGTTTGTGGGACAATACGTTTTGGCAGGCCTGGTCCTGATTGGTCAGTTTGATTGATACTCTGGAAAAGTTCATTCCTATTGGTCTGTATATTATGTAAACAATCATTGGTTACTGGTACATCGGTTAAATAGTTGATGTTAGGTAGCTGGAAAAAGAAGTGTATAAATAAAAGTCAAATCATAATTTAAATTTTTGATAGCATAAATGTGAACAAATTTTATAAAATGTTGAAGAACCTCCCAGTAAAACTACCAATGATAATGATATTTAAAAATACTACCAGAAGAGATCTTTCGTAACTTATTTGCAATATCTGTAAATCTTTAATAATTTTATTCAAATTGATGATTAAAAAAATATAAAAAGTAAACTGCTTTTAATTTTAAAAGAAAAAAAAACTTTTTAAATGAAACTCACTCCTTGTGTTAAGTAAAGGCAATAGTTAATTTAAAAATGATAATCATTATAGAATGATTGGATGATAAGAAACTGTGTTTGATTGGCTTAATAAAAGCTAGGTTTGTATATTGTATTATATAATGTTGATAATTGTAAGTTTTAAATTTAAAAAATGTACCAAAACATATATCCTGAATTATGTATAATAATTTTACTTAGGAAACTGGAGGATTTTATACAAGTGGATTAGGCTATGTCTGTATATTTGTACAAAACTGAGGTCTATTTTAGGGATGGTAGTATATATTTTTTGATTTTGATTTCACTTCTTCGGTTGTCCATAAAAAGTTGGTGATTGTATTCCATGTGTATTTGTATATATGCCATGATTCCTATAGTCCGTTAATACTAGTCACATATTGGTAATCACTACACTAATATTTAAAACCGAAATTTGTAAAAATTTAAGGATAGAAATAATGTTAAAGACAGGGATCCCAAATTTGGAAAAGTCACTTTCGGACATTCTTGAGAGACCACTCCAAATTTTCAGGTGCCAGAGGTGGTCCCGAATTAGAGGGCCAACTGTACTTGCAAACAGTCAGAATTTGCGAGAATTGAGTTAATATCTGGAAGATTGTTGGAAGCAGCTTCCGAGAGTATTCCGCAACTTGTCGCCGTAACTCATGGGAAAATTTGGATCCCTGAAAACATATACCATCTATGTTGACCTAAAAACTCAAATTCAGTACCTGCATTGCTAACTTTGTCTATTTAAAAACATATAAATTATTAATAGAAGATTATTTACAATTAACTGACACACAGGCATTACCCTAAATGTATTTATATGTGGGCATGTTGATGTCATATCATACCATATATGGGCAAATAATGGGTATTGTCATAAAAAATGTGTGTAGTAAAACATCTCTAATTCATCAAAGACAACTGAATTGTTTTTTTCTGTTTAGATAATTAATAATTAAGAGATAATCTGCTTGGTCCATTTATATGCACCTTTCAAGTTTTCACCTCAGATGGTATATGTTATGATTTAATAGTATTTCTTCTGGAAATTGTAAACCAATTTAATCAACTCGTATTAAATTAGGTTATAAGACGTTTATTGGGATGTGTGTGCGTGAACATTAGAAAGCTATAATTATTCTTACTTGTTGCCAAATACAAAAAATGATGCTTATATAATTTTTTTGTTGAGGCATTTCTTTTTAGTAAAGGTTTTTTAAATTGGTTCTACTCTATGGTAGACCAGATTTCATTATTAATGTGTTGGCTACAAAGAATATGAAGCTCTATTTTAGTGATCATAATCTCACATCTCAACATTGTATATCTGATAATAATGTCAGATTCTTAAGTGATCATTTAATTAGATTTGCATTTTTCTGGTCATTTCATGAGCTATCTGTACTGGTTATTGCAATTATTTTGGGTGATGCAGATTCTTGAGACAATCTCGCAGGTTTTTGTGATCATTTCATGAGATGTGGATGCTTAAGTGTGATCATTTCATGAGATGTGGAGGCTTGTGATTATTTTCATGAGATGTATCAACTCTGTAATTTATTATGATCATTTCATAAGTTACATCAACCATACTGTTTTTTGTGATCATTTCTTGAGATGTATCAGTTACTGTATATATATCTTTTTGTGATCATTTCAGAAAATGTGTGGACTCTCGTTGAATGTGCGATCATTATCAAACCCTTTCTGTAATCTTGATGATATATATAAGTAATTTACTAAAGTTCGTCTGATAATGTAGACTTGAGTTTGTAATCATTAGGTCAGGTGTATTAACTCATTCTGTATTACTCTGATCATTTTATCAGATAATCATATGATTAATTTATCAGATGATTATATGATGCTGGATTATCTGACAATTTATATTTTTGTGATCATTTGAATGCATTTTTATTTTTGTATATAACTTAAGATAACTTTTACTTTACTTATTACAGTTTTATTCTTGCGATCAAAAACATCTCGTTTCAAACTTTGTTTATTTTTATTAGCTGCCTAAGAATCTATCTGAATAATGTAATAATTTTCATATCAAACTCAAAGATGGCGCCAGAAAATTCAAGGTCGCTGACAGCAACTGAGATAAGTACATGCAACTCTAGATGCTTAACGGTCAAGAGATTTCCAATAAGGGGGTCTGAAACTCGTGCTACCGTTCCAACCGATCACACCTTGGTGGTATCACCTAATGAGATGTTTCAACAGGTTTTAGTGATAATTATGTTGCGATCTATTTTTACATTTCCGATAATTATCACATGTAATAATAATTAGCCAATGTTTTTGCCAATCATTTTGTCTGGTTGTCTGAAAGTGTATCTTTATAATAATTCGTGTGATTATTACTGTATCATCTCTAAAATGTAGCCAGATTACTATGATTCCCACCTTATTTTTTGAAAACCTGATCTTCTTAAAAAAGTAATTTGCGCTGTTGGTTTAGGAATGCATAAATTAATGTATCTGTATTCATGCGATCATTTCATCAGGTTTTCAGAGTTAATATGTTAATAGCTCAGGTTTAAGTATAAAACCAGCATGAGAAAACAACTCAATATTGTCAAAAACAGTAAATTTGTGAGAATTGTGTAGTCGTTTGATTGTTTTTAATTCACACTATCAAGCTGTATGGGACAAGTTTGTGGAATTTGCCCATATATGGGCATGGTGACGTCATTTTACTTTCATATATGGGCAAGATGATGTCATATACCATATATGGGCAAATAACATGTTGTCACATAAAATTTGGCTTCTGTCTTCAATTGGTGTTCACAAGTTCCATGTAACACGTTTGTGGAAATTTCCCATATATGGGCGTGGTGATGTTGTATCACATTCATATATGGGCATGTTGATATATACCATGGGCACATAACAAGCAGGTATTATCACATACAATTTGATTTCTGTGTTCAATTGTTGACCTCACCACACTTTTAAGTTCCATGTGACATGTTTATGGAAATTGCCCATATATGGGCATAGTGATGTCATATTACATTCATATAATGGGCATGTTGATGTCATATCATTCCATATATGGGGAAATAACAGGTATTATCACATAAAATGTGTTTGTGTGATAGAGCTTAATATCCTAATATTGATTTAGTAAATTGATTTCCTCTCATGTTATATGTAACTGGTTCAGGGTATATCCTTACACAGGTCAGTGTACTATCAGCTAATCATTATGCAAATTGCCTGATGTACTAACATTGATTGTACAGTGTCTCTGATTGGTCAATATTCATAATGCAATAGAAACCCAGTTTTATTGTTTCCATCAATTTTTAGTGATCTAATATTTAGAATTAAGTCTTATTTTTAGTAATCAAATTCTTTGCTGTAATACTTTTAACTAAAAAGGTTGGTCTCATTGAATCATCTTGGGGCATGTCTTCTTTGTGTACCTTGTTACGGTTTTGCTTATTTGCATATGTTCTTTAGGTCATACCTTTTTTCCTGCATGATTCTTCTTTGGTTCTACTCATTAGCTTTTTTAAATGGCAATGACAAGGTGTGTTCCTAGTTTTAATGAGTAATTTTTAAAACAGTCTGCGTTAAGTGTAAATGTTAATCTTGTCGGACCAATCTTGTTATCTCTGGATATTTGGTGGTAGTATTTTTTTAATTGTTTACTATTTTGACATTTTATTCACACTTAATGTATAATTATAAAAAAAATGTTCTTGATGGCAGAACCATACCTGTGACGTTCCATTTAAGATTGTAGTGGATTTTATACCTGGATACAAAAATCAGTAGCCAGTAACCAAAATGTAGAGGGCGGCTTAACTAAACAATGGAGAAACATTGAAACATGTCAGTTTAGCATTAAAGTTTAGATTCCTATCAGAATTTATATATCAGTGAATGTTCAGAGACCATTCAGATGAAGTTCAGTACCTTGATGTTGCTTTGTGTAAAGATTATATAACCATATTGTGTACTAAAGTCAAGTATAGTACTGTACTTAATTTTCATTTAAAAAAAAAACAATTTTGGACATGGTGGAACAGTTAAATTTAAGCCAATTAAAATGGATATAATACTGTTGTAAGGGTAAAATACAACACTTTCAACTCAAAAAGCCTTCTGTATAACAGATTATATTATACGCATGTGATGCAATTAGTTTTTTGGCCTTTCGAGGTTGAAAATTACACCCCAATAATCTGTGGTTTTTTTTTTTACCCAAGACAATGTTGTCTGAGGTTACATTATCCAATCAAGTGCCAATAGTTTGTCTTGTGATTTTTGTCAACATATTGGTGCCAAACCTAAACTTCCTACTTATTTATCTATCCATCAATGGATTCCCGCTGCATTCCTCGTTGTAATACCGGTATTGACACATACATTCAGTGGTGGCACCAGGTAGGTCCGTCACTACGACAAAGTCATCGGACCAAAAATAATATTTTACCTATCCACATAACGTTATTTTGATTGCTTATCACTAATATTATGGTCTGAAAAGAAAATTTGGGCCATGCTATGCCTGAGGCACTGAGTCAGTCCAGGGCTCGTTGAATCTTCCTGAGCATGTGCTAATAACGTATAACTGAATTTTTCCCAGCGCATATCCACTTTTATACTGAACATGCATGTGCAAGATCACAAACTATTTGTAGCCACAGTCGCGTTAAAACCTAGTTCATATTTAAATCAAAGTATGGGCTGCAGCATGATTTTGTAGAGGTACAGTCACCCATTTTCTTACTCAAAATTTATCCAATTTTAACGGCTTAAGGGACATGAGCACACCATGCGTTAAAACTATATCACGTGCGTTGTACTACGGTTGTACGACCTTTGGCCGACAAATCCAACTCATACTGATTATCGGTGGCACTCTGAACAAGTTGTAATTAAAAACGATCTGTTGCATGCGCATTGTGCCATTGCGTTCTCCATAGAATTTCGTCGATCTGCGACGACCGTCGGGCAACGGGAGTGCCTCTCTTTATATGCTTCAGTTTAATAGTTAAATGTAAACTGAGTGGTTGCCTCAATGGGCTGTTCCAGTTGAACTACAGCAGGTTGTTTATTTAAGTGGCTAAAACTTTACTTTGTATATCTAAATCCAAGGAGTTTAGACATATAATACATGATTGTTAAATTATCTTGTACAAAATGTGAATTTATCATTGAAATACTGGATGTATTGTAATCATACTTTTTTTATGTTAAAATTTTAAGGGGATTTTTTTAAATCAATACTGTGTGACACTTAAATTGCGATACACCAAAAAAATCGTACACAACCTGTATTGTTGCATATTAAGCACACATTTGTGGTTAGATGATTACTAAAATAAAGATTATATTTCTGAAAACTTCATGTAGGTAGAGTTACCAAAGTTGTAATTGTATGAGGGCGCCCTACTCTATAGTGTGTGAGGGCACTCTTTTTTGAATAGTAAGAATACTATTGAAATAATTTATTTTACTTTAATTAGATTGATGTGTTGAACAATATCCGGTAGTTTTCTCTGTTGAAGATAAAATGTTTACACTTATTACTTTTATGAGCCAATTCATAGCGGAATTTCGCTTCAAGTTTGTAAAAAAAATATATTAAAATCCTAATATTTATGATTTATCTTAAATTTTCTTGTAAAATGCTTTCTGTTTTTATCAAATATTTGGTACAGAATTCTTTAGAATCACATTTACTTGATGTCCGCATGTCGATTTCATTCCCGAGAAAATACTTTTTGACCTACACTGACCTGAAGTGAGTATTTTCAGATCAAAATAAATTCAAAAAGCTATCAAAATCTTTTTGTTTGTATTTATCATTTTTGTGTGTTGTCATACAGTATTTTTGGAAGTTTGTATTAGTGAGTCATTTGAAAACATATTGAACCATATGTACAATTTAATATACCAAAATTTCGATACAAAATCATCTAATTTATTTGGCGTCCCATACTCGATTTCAAATTTAACTTGCTTGTTGGTGGCGCTGTCCAGAATGAGAAAAAAATTGTAATGATGAACTTGTGGCAAGTCTAAGGGCAGTGGGTGAGGGGACCTAAGACTACATTCTTTAAAAATTATAAGCGAATCAGATAAATTGGTTTGATAATGACCTAAACGAAACATTACATGTAAATTTGTTACTTGTAATTAATCGGAATTTTGTACTTCATAAAATTGACTTCTGCATCTGAGATAAATGTTATTTATTGTTTGTTTGTTTATTTATTTATTTATTTGGATGGTTTTGAATTCAGTAGACAGTTTGTATCATGTGGCATCCTACAATGTTCTCTATATATTATTTAAGATATTTCGTTATTGGCAGCCAATGAACATCGAGCTCAACCACTGTCAGCCAATAAACATCAAGCTCCTCAACTATTAGCCAATCCCATGAATTTTGGGAAAACGCCGAATGTTTTACAATTGTGTAAAAAATGATAATCCAATTCAGCTTTTATGAAGCGAACTAAAATCCTTAATGATGGAACCAAACGGACGCAAATTGATGAGAAATACAACACATTTTAAGAAAAGAACTAAGATTTATTTGTGAACAATTTGCGTCCGTTTGGTTCCATCATTAAGGATTTTAGTTCGGAAGACCTGCCAATTTGTTTGCTTAGGAAGTATGAGAAGATATCCCTACGCTTCATAAAAGCTGAATTGGATTACGGTATCATTTTTTACACAATATATATATATATAGCCAATTTAAAAACAATTAATTCACGCTACATTTAATTAATTTCATATTCAGAATTTTTGCAGGAAGCTTGATGGGTGACAACATTTTTGCCTACAAGAATTAATACATATTGCTAACATTATTTGCGAGGTTTTTGGTGAGGAAAATATTTAAAAACAATTAATTCACGCTATATTTAATTAATTTCATATTCAGAATTTTTTCAGGAAGCTTGATGTGCGACAACATTTTTGGCTATCTATAAATAATTGGTAACTTCTGTTTCACGATCGAGTTCGTACATTTTTCCTGATATTTGTAGATTCTTTGTCTACTTCCTAGAATAGAAAAAATATTGGGAAAAAAAATAGGAACAGAAAAAGAATTATTATGGAGTATCAAAAACATGTATATAAATAAAAAAAATAGTGAGCCCCATCCTGAACATTATCGTATTCAGTTATCGCAATGTATGGACACAACGCTTTCATACCACGGAATGAATGAGGATTAATATTAAATACCGGTACATATAGTATTGGGTAGGCCTAGTTGATCGCAATAGCGTGAACAAATGCTAGCATTCGATTGTCATGGTAAATTAAATATAGGCCTATAAAAGTGTACTATTCGATAGAAATGAATATATCAGGGGCGGATCCAGAGATGTCCAAAAGTGGGGTGGGAGAGGCGAAAGGTGCGGGGGAGAAATTTGGGCCGATCGATACAACAATGTCCTAGGGGGTTCTCTCCCCCCCTAAATCCGCCCCTGTATATACATGCCCATATATACTGTCAATTACCTGAAAGATAATCAATTTAATTCCATGATTGAATAATCATATTTTAGTAAGTTTTAACTTACCATTAAATATCTGAATGAATGGTTTTCCTCTGTCAATTAACAGATAGGCCTAGTTAAATAAGCAGTGCCAGGCTTATATTCTTATTTATATACGCCACATAGACACTAGCGTCAATTAAAGGATTTTGTAGTAAAATGTCCGTAAATGAGGAAAAATTTTTTTAAATGTTGAGGGGGTTCCAACGATTCTGATCGGAGTCTGAAACAAGAGTCCTTGAATAATGTCCCTGGGATTGGGTTCACGGGAAGAATTTTTTACGGTTCAGGATCGACCACGTGCACAATTGGATTGGCTATCAAAATGAATTTGTTTGGATCGGTAAATTAATATTTTTTGTTGACGATGGGGGTCGATGTTAGTATTTGAGAACTCAGGCTACGTGATCAAGGTTATCTGCTTCGGAATAATAAAGAAAATAATAGGCCTAATTATGTTTAGCAATTTTTAAAGCAACTACCACCCAGCATAACTTTGGCTGTCCTTTAAAAAATGATATAGAAAATATTTTTGTCGTGCCGTAACAATTTCCGATTATTCATCAATAAAAGTTGTGTACCAGGTAAAGACAATATATTCTTGGTACTAAATTTCATATAGTATGAAATATATATGTTTGTACATCTTTCCTGTTGTTGTTTATGAGAGTGCAATATTATGGTATGGGCTGTTTTTGTGCTTTGCACTTATTTGCCGCTTCATCACTGGCTACCGTTTTTTTTTTTTTTTTTTTTTTTTTTATTGTCAGTGTAAAGTCTAATTATTAAAATGTATTTTTTTGTTACTTGCATTGTCAGTGTAAATTCTAATTATTAAAATGTAAATATAATTTTTTTGTTAATGGAAAATAAAAACGAACGAATGAATAAACCACAGCTCTTATAATAAATACATCCGTCATGACGCCCTCTTGTGGCGAACAGGATATTATTAGTAAAGGAATCAGACCGCATGTGTTAGAACACCTGTAGCCTGGAATTTTAAATACTGTACATTGGGACTTTTCAAATTCTACGGAACGTGCGTAGTTGCTACCTAAATTTTGCCTAATTATGGACGTTTACGGAAATAAACAAAGACACTACGGAAATTTATCTTTAATCTAGACCCTGAAATAGGCCTACCATTGTTGAAAGTACAGCAGGACAATGATTTTTCATCAGGACATGCTACTCGTCCCTACTACTACTACCTACGGACCCTAGGACTAAACGGCCCGGAGGCCTAGACTTCAGACCTGTCAGATTGATAAATTATTGTAAAACCCAAGAAAAGTGCCCCATAAATCATCAGTTGCTACAGGATATTTTCATTTACAATACTACGGAAGCTAAAAGACATGGCAGAAATGCATATTACTATTATTCTGGAGAAGTTTTGATGATTAAGTGTGCAGAATATTTACTAGGGCCTGGCCTAGGCCTATGCCTACGTCATTTCATCTCTGGTGAGTACTCGTGTTAGCTGTTATTTTTAAGTTGAAAATGGGCAGTAAAATATTTCGCAAGCAGTAGGCTCCCATTTTTTATGCTCTTCCCCCGGCCTTGCTGTAGGCCATAGGCCTAGCTATGATACTAGGCTAGGCCACTGCGTATGCCCCAGGGCCCGTCTAAATGCTGCCATCCAGTGCACCCGTGTTCAACGCATAGTTGCCAACTTTTCCAAAAAAAAATCCGTAAGAACTTGTGTTGCCATGTGCCACTGGCTGGGAGAGGGTGGGGGGAGCAGGGGCTGCTGAGAGCCCCTCGTGGTGGTCCAGTGAGGAGGCAAAGTCTCCCTTGAAGCTCTCACAGTCTGGACATTTTCACTACTGGTTTTATTGATCTTGTCACTAAATTTAGTCAAATATGTATGAAAACCTAAAGGCCAACTCAGACAGCGTCGGCCGACGCAGCCCGACCCGATTTATCGTCGGGGACAGTCTTAAGCCGTCGTGAGAAATATTAAACACGTTTAATATTCTACTACG